GTCCCATGTTAACAAATGCTTGAAAGGGGCCTGAAGCACCATTATAGCCATCGATATGTTGGTTAAACACATCGTCGAACTCCGTAAGTAGTAACTCAAACTGAGATTTGGTATCTTGCGGGAGGATATTGTCTGGGTCTACACAAACAGTGGATGAGAAACCAATGTCCTTAATTTGAGGGGACATAGTTGGTGGTAGCAGATGTGCGGGCTCAACATCATAACCAGGGTCGCAGTCAGGTATAAAAACTGGGCGAATCTGGCAAAAGTGCTCGTGTTTCTTGAGCAGTTGTGGAGTGTCGTACAGATTCGGGATCCTGATTTTGCCTGAGACACTTGAGATAATTCCTAATTCTGGCCAAGTGGATGATAAGGTAGAGCGTCCAGGTCTGGTATCTATGCGGGGTTCTATGGCAAATGTGAAATCCGAAGGAGCAAAGCTTTCAGGAACCGGCACCTCAATAAAGTCTCCAGGCCATATGGTAGTAGAAGTGTCTGGGGCTCTGAGTACGCAAGCTCGTCTCACAGTATGTTTGTCACCAGTTGTTTCTGTGGAACCGTATGTGTATGTCGTACCATCACCAAGTATGATCCGATGTTTTCCAGGGCGTACTGCCACATCGTTGGCCTCCATAAATGGTATGCCTGCAAGGACTTCTACATCCAGGTTTTCCACCACAAGACCACTAAAATCGAACTCCTTGTTGTCGCGTGTGAAAAGGATTCTTGTCTCTCCAACGACCTTCAGTGGGGAAGAACCATCTGCCTGATGGGCTGACTGAGAGCTAGTCTTGATGTCAGCGCCGAAGCCTGTTGCTGTTGAGAGGCGGATCATATTACCAGTAGCTCCACTATCTACAGTGACTAGTGCCGTCTGGTGGCCACAAAAACAGTACATATAGGGCGACTGACGGACTTGCACACGAAGAGTTGAGACAGGTTCAGTAGATGGCACTGCACACGCATTTTCAACTGTATCACTAGCATCGTCAGCAGGGTCATCAAGTATACTGGCAATTTGTCTTGCCATGTATCTCCGGTCATGATCTGGAAGGAACTTGCACTCGCTGAGATAATGAACATGATCGCTGCGTCCTGCAGCTTTACACAGTGGGCATGATTTTGGAAACTTTCTACCCGTTTGTTGTGCTTTAGCAAAACGTGAGAATGACAAGCGCTGTTGTGAAGTGTTTGTCCTCATAACCTTAGCATCCTCTGCTGTGCGGATTTCATCTAAAAGTGAATCGAGAGCCTGTTAGATTTCAGGTTTCAAAGAGGAAATTGTTTGTGAGCGAAGATCTGTCCCATAACGTTGTTTGACGAGCTTTGGAAGTTCAACGTGTATTAGCCTCAGCCATGTAAGCACAACAAAATTTTCTAACGATGGTGACAATTCCTCGTCCTCTTCAGGTGCATTGCCATAGTGGGTTATTCCCCCTTCACGGCGGAGTAAATTGTCCTCCACAAAAGCCATTAGTCTCTGATACAAATCTTCCGGTCTCTCGTCATTTTCAAGTTTGATTTCGGCAAAGTCAATGAAATGAGCGCCAGTTGCTTGGAACCCGAAATGTAGGCGTATGGCATCTACAGACGTTGAGGATTTTATTATGGTGTTCCGTGAAATTATCGGACAATAATTGGCAATCTAGCCGAGCATAAGCTCCAAACTGCTAACCTTTTGTCTTGCAGTTCTCCTAACAGCTTCACGGACGTCTTCCCCGTCGTCAGTCATGCCCCTGAGTGGCGTGGCCCTAGTTTTCTTATGCCAGACTGCCCCGTCGGCAAGAAATGGAGTAAAATTTGTGTCCAAAGATAATGTATAAAGGAGATTTTGCCTCCAGTTCTCGAAAGAATTTACAGTCTCAATCTTACCGAGGCACCATTGCTTCGGGGCACGTTGAGCGTTGGCCATAATGACAGTCTTGTTTACTCTGCGTTATCCAGGCACTCTACCGCCTGACCTGTTGATCACGTTCAGTGAAAGTATGCAAGTACTACAGTTCGTTGTGCCGCCTGCTTCGTTAGACGTGAGTTCAAACCCGCTGCCACCACGCCAGTTAGGTTAGGAGGAACTGTACACTTGTCACACATCGACAGGACACAGGTAAACACTTGATGATATTTATTGGCAACACTCGAAACGAACCGCGAACCCAAGCGAGCCTCCCAAGACAGGCGAGCTACCAAGGGGAGCTAACCCTGCTTACATTAAAGCATGCCAAGCAAACCTGCGTTGGCGAATATTACAATTTTATGACAGTCTGTAAATCAAGTCTGGACCAGAAAATCCAGTGATTAATAATACTGTAATCATCATCCTTTCCCAAAGAACACACGCAAGTCGTTGCCACAATCAACACACGTCTTTATTTCATTACTGAACAAATCCAACTGTCCTAATGGTCTGACTGCCCCCTACTTTATTCTATTCTTACCGTGTACCCGCTTACCAAGCAACCATCCCCTTCGTCCGCCATATTCGTTCTGCCTCCGTTTAGAGTTATCCCCCTTATACAGCCAAGCTCCTCACAGCAATATCCCGTTCGCGGAGCTCTCTATTTACTATCGCTGACACCAGTCAAACTCCCCACGGTGATAGATGACCAAAACCATGCTTGGAGTTGAACTCGCAGCCGATTGACCGTTATGTTTACAAACAAGTGACGACTGTCGTGACGCCGAATACACTTACCGCTGATAAATTACTTTCTTTGTTTGTCAATTTGAATTTCTATTTCATTAAAATTATCATGTAATTGATAAAGTAAGAATGTAAGGGAGAAGTTGGTTGATTTTCCGTTAGTCTGCAATCTCGAACCAATCTGATTATACAAACAACAAAGTAAATTCATCTGGAAAACATGGTCAGTCGTAAACCTTTTCAAAATCAAATATGATGGTATTCCGAAAGATATAAACAAAAGTATAAACGTTACTACATTTGGGGTTAGAGGGCAAATTTCAAGATTCTTGTAATGGCCGCGCCCACTCTGGTGGCAGCGATGTTACCGAGAGTGTAACGAAGGTGTCACGCACTGGGAAGGAGCTTGTGACAGTGCATATAGGGTAACACAAGTTGCCTCCCCTTATACAATACTTCAACGCTCCACGTCGTCGGGACATGCAATCGATTACGCCTACTCTTCCGACCAGCTAGGGACGTATTCTAACCACAGGGTTTATAGAAATAACGGTATATCCGTTAAAACAATCAAAAAAAGCGGAGTGATCAAGACGAATCAGGCAAAGTGGTTGTTTGAAGGCTGTCAAGGTCAGAGATGACACATAGCAAGTCACACATGTAACTAACCAATACTCAAGCCACAAAGTATTTTTGCTAAGCGTATTATCCATATGCAATAACATTGCAAAGAAGCTTACCCCCGCGAGGATTTCGGTTATTGGTCCATAGCAACCCATGACGGTCGGTATAGGCGACTCAATGGGTCGTACATGATAGGTACAATGCGGTTCTCTCTTTATATGGGGACGTAACCCCCTTTTGGTACGCGGGATTCGCGAGTTTGTTGGCATGGTATGGTTTCTTGCTTAACGCCAAACTCATCAATATTCCAGCTATATGACGGCGGTCTGTAAATAATCGAGTCTGGGGACCAGACAATCCAGTGATGAATATCATGAGCATCGATCGATGGGATCGATGACATGCATCAACCAAGTCAGCGAGCCTGACCACCCGATCTCATCAGTCGGATCTTACGACAAGCATAGTCGCCTTTTCCGCCAAGTTGTTGTTGAAAATAAAATGCAACAAACGGTAACCTGCTTGCTTATGTTCAAGAAACATTCATCAATGACATCCTTCTTATGATTTTGTGAGAGTTAAACAGTGACAGTTTCTTTATGTATGAGAAACCCTCATCAATGGCCTATATGCCACGTACATGTAGGTTACAAGCAAAACAAGCAAGAGTGAGCCAGTGAGTTAAAATGTAACATCAAATCTGCATAATAATTTTACAATTTCAACCCTACCAGGGGCACAGTCACTAAAAATCACAGTTAACAATCATTTACTACCGATTTATGAAATAACTAACTTTGTATGTCATTTTTTTAAAATTCTATTTCTTTTAATAAGCACAATATTAAATGAAAATTATCATTAATAATGAAGTCTTTGACATTTTTTCACTGAAATATTTATCCCTTGTGATGGCAAAATCAATACAGTCAGGCAGGACATGCTTGATCCTCTCCTTTTAAATGGATATTTCTGTGAATATCTGCTGTGGCCTTTACGGGGGCGGTCGGATAGCCTAGTGGTTAAAGCGTTCGCTCGTCACGACGAAGACCCGGGTTTGAGCCTGACCACCCGATCCCGTTAGTCGCCTTTTACGACAAGCATAGTCACCTTTTACAGCAAGCATGGGTTGCTGAAGACCTATTCTATCCCGGAATCTTCACGGGTTGGGGTTTGTTTGGAGGGTATTCGGGACTCAGTAGTGTGGTACACGGGATGGCTATAAAGACATATTTGGTACGCAGATTCAACATTTAAAAAGAATATTGGTGTGCGTAAAAAAATCCTTCATATATTTTTTCGACATTATTTTGAGTAATTTAACTTCAGATCGCACCCTTTTAGGGCCAAGGAACGTGTTCTGTAGGTTTTTGTCTGTGATTGACATTCTGCCTTCATCGAGTGAATTCTATGAATTAGTTTTGATATTTGTGTCAAGTAGTATTCGGGATTCAGGGGTGAGCACATGAGACTCGGGATTCAGGTGAGGTGGTTGTGGCACTCCCTTAGAGTGGCTATCGGGTAGCCTAGTGGTTAAAGCGTTCGCTCGGGTTTCGATGCCCGACATGGGTACAATTGTGTGAAGCCCATTTCTAGTGTTCCCCGCCGTGATATTGCTTGAATATTGCGAAAAGCGGCGTAAAACCATACTCACTCACTCACTTAAATTGCAGAGAAATACTTTTGTGACCATCTTTCTAAAGCCTAGCAGTCCATGTACCGTCTGTTGTTCCAGATCAAGTTCAACAGCTGGTGAAGAAGAGCCATGAGATGAAGAAAATGTCTTACTGTCCGTACAGCAACTTTCCCGTCGGGGCAGCCCTACTCACAGCCGACGGGACTGTGTTCACAGGTAGGTCAGAGTTATCGCCCTACCTAAGAGTCACAAGACCGCTCGTCATGCTATTTGTGACCCACTCGTGTCACCCTGGAGCGAGCCAGCGACTGCTGGTTTCCCTCTCATGGTCATTTTAGCAACTTGTTACTGTCCTTGCTCAAACGGGCATAACAGAAACCATTGTCGTCTTCATGTACCGCAGCCGCAAATTATATCAAGCAATATTCCAGTAGCTCCAGCCTTTGGTGTCTACATTTCACAACTCTTGAGCTACAACCAAGCATGCTCTTTTTCCGGAGATTTTGAAGAAGGTTACAACATTCAAGGCCCCCGCAAAGCTTTCTAAATCATTATGGTGGACAAACTTCCAAATGGTGGCCAAACTGATGTTAATACAATTGCCTAGTTTTTCAGGTGAACAATTGACTCGCCTTTGCACGTGTTTGTGACGGGTACCCCGCAGAGGCAAGATACACCAAACCTTTCGCGAATCCGGGTATCATCACTATTTGATAGCGATTCATAAACACATGCTTAGGGTGTGATGGACTCGTACAATGGACTCTGCTTTTAGTGGAGGTTTCTTATAATTAAGAAATTGCTTTCTGTTTTTAAGTTTACATGGATATTTTCAGAATAATACTGTAGAGTCGTTACCATTTACAAATACTTGTTGTTTAATATGATCAAACAATTGTGACTGCCACTTAGGTATATTTAAAGAAAAAAATGATATCTGTAAACATACATTGTGAAGAACTTATGGTCTGTTTCCTCACATAAACTTTTAAAAAATGTGTTTAGATCCTAAACACAAAATTCCTTGTCCCATAATTTGGACATGTTGTAACAAATTTAGAAGCTACGCATGTTTAGGGGCTAAATTAGTATACCTCCTTGAAATTCATTCTAGGTAATTTAAAAAAGGGTGTTTTCTATGTTTTCATTGTGTCTACTTTGTTGATATGAATGAGTATGCTTCACATACCCCGGAAAATGTGAGGAATATTTATTTTATTATATGAGCACTCAAATTATAACTTGAATGAATCGCAGACAGGAATGTCGGGGAATGAGTCTAATCATTATTAATCTTGTGGTTGGTTAAGCTGGTCCCTGCCTCTCTTTTCGCGACATCAGTTCATAATGTGATATTTAAAGACGGAGCCCAGTTTAGAGGTCGCAAATTCAGTAACGTACACCAAGAACGTCTTTGCCTTATTTATTGGCATGTTATTTTCAGTAAGCCGCGATGTCATCTTTTGTGTGCAGGTTGTAACGTTGAAAACGCTTCATATGGCCTGGCCATCTGCGCCGAGAGGACAGCCATTGTCAAGGCCGTATCAGAAGGTCATCGAAAGTTCAAGGCCATTGCCATCGCAAGGTAACATTAGCAGTGCGAAAATATAATTGGAAAATATGTTTCGTAAAAGTGATTATTTCAAATCAGAGAAAGCACAGTGACGGTGTTCATGAGACATGTTCACATCACACAACAGGAGTGCTTTCTTTGTTCATTGTTTTATGCATGGGTTAATATGTTTATTATCCCCATCTTACACTCACTGTTTGTTTGGTTATACATCATTTTGTAATGTTATAGATTCTTTCCTTATAGTCGCTATATAAGTGAAATAACGCGATGTTAACCCAAGCCTGGTTCCCTGAGTATGCTGCGCTGGCGAACCAGGCTGCGTGTACCCAATTTCACCTCACCACCAACTTTCATTATACCGCACATTTGATTCCCTAACCCTGTAGGAATCTGGTTTAAAATGTCCACAGCAGCCTGAACTGTAGAATGAGTAAGTGAGTATGGTTTTACGCCACTTTAAACAATATTCCAGCAATATCATGGCGGGGGACACCAGAAATGAGCTTCACACATGTGGGGAATCGAACCAGAGCTTTACTCAGTCGATGTCCTTGTCTGATTTACAGTGATCTGAAAGAAATCGCCATTGTGCCGTGTGGTGCGTGTCGGCAGGTTCTGGTTGAGGTGAGCACCCTTTTCGTTTTTTTATATAATACTCACTGCACCTCTTAATATGGTTGTAGAGTAGGGAAGTGGCGCATTTCACAATGGTATACAAATTATAATTAAAAATCGTGATTCTGCAAACAGCCATATTATATATCATAATTGTTTTTCTTACTATTATTATTTCTATTATTACTGTTATTATTCGATGCCTCCCCTACTATGTGCATCGTTGCTCACAATATCAATCATCGGATTGTCTGGTACAGACTCAAGGATATGCAGACCGCCGTCATATTCCATGAATATTGCTTAGTGCGGCGTTAAGCAACAAAACAGACAGGGGAGGCTTGTTGAAGGGACATGGTTCAGTGAGCTATGCTGGTACTTTTGTTCAAGTACACGACATGACGTGTCGTGTACTATTAGATGACGCGTTGGTTGGTTTATTGTCTTGACACTGAACCACTGAATGTTGAATAACTGTGATCACCCAGTTAATACTGCACGTGATGAGTGAGTTGGGTTTAACATGGCTTAGAACAGTTTTTCAGTTTGTCCATGGCGCCATGGCTTAAAGTCAGACGAAAACACGTTTTGCCTCTTAAAGTTGGACGAAAATACGTTTTACGTCTTAAAGTTAAACGAAAACACGTTTTACCTCTTAAAGTTGGACGAAAACACGTTTTATCTCTTAAAGTTGGACGAAAACACGTTTTATCTCTTAAAGTTGGACGAAAACGCTTTTTACCCCTTATAGTTGAACGAAAACGCATTTTACCTCTTAAAGTTGGACGAAAGCGCATTTTACCACTTAAAGTTGGACGTAAACGCATTTTACCACTTAAAGTTGGAAGAAAACGCTTTTTACCTCATATAGTTGGATGATAACGCATTTTACCACTTAAGGTTGGAGGAAAACGCCTTTTACCTCTTATAGTTGGACGAAAACGAATTTTACCACTTAAAGTTGGACGAAAACGCATTTTAACCCTCATAGTTGGACGGAAGCGCATTTTACCTCTTATAGTTACGGAAAACGCATGTTACCTCTTAAAGTTGGACGAAAACGCATTTTACCTCTTATAGATGTGGAAAACGCATTTAACAACTCTGGGTGTGGTGCTCATAAACAATAAATCACAATCAGCACAATTGTAATATCAGTAGATCCAGACACTACTAAGGGACTCAACCCAACCCAGCGGCGCCTTAAACGACTGAGCTACACTTGCGCACTTACTAGACATTTATATCTATTAATATATACCCATGTTATATTGAATTGCGTAATTATACCGTAATAGTGTACTGGTTTCACTGTGGAAATGCAAAGCTTGTTGCGCGCTTTTACATATCTGACAGAATCGAGTCCCATTTCCTGACTTCTCAGTTATTCCGGGACGATTACGGAAGAGACACGTTGTTACGAATGCTCTTGTGGCCGCCATCAACGAATTCGTCTTGTATCAAAGTCTCTATAATGCAAAGGTGTTTTCATGTATAAAGATTCATAAACTGTTGGCATTTGTTGCAGTTTGGTGTGGACTGGGATGTGATTATGACCAAACCGGATATGACGTACGAAGTAATGAAAACGAAGGAGTTACTTCCCTTGTGTTTTGGACCTACCTATCTTCAAAGAGTGAAGGCTGTATAAAGCAACATTGAGTCATTTAGGAGATAAACATACTGTGTTTTCAATGTAGAGCTAGGTTAACTGTAGATTTAACCGCGTGAAATTGAATTTGGAAACGAACGCGCAGCGTGAGGTTTCAGATGTTAAATTTAGCCATTATGACGTCATATTGCCCTTTGTGACGCAATAGATATGACGTCACGGTCGTAAACAGAAAAGCGTCAAATTCCAAGCACTCTGTTGTCTCAAACCTTAAACACATTCTCTTGTAGATTTCTATCGTGATTTCTGCACGAAATGTATTGCCCCACATCCTTCGAATATTGTAGTAACCGCACCTTTGAATGTTGTAACCTGTAATTGTAGATATAATTATTTAAATATGCCTTCCGACAATGACTGAAAAAAGTGCTATTCTATGAATATGAGCTTACGCCGTAGTGCGGCCGTCAAACCAGCTGTTTCAATCAGACGGGGTTTATTTTGATTTAATAGCCTCTCATTGACCAATCAGAATCGAGTAATTTGCAAATTCATGGTAGAAGGAATATAAGGAGTTGAAGCGACTGTGTTTTCAATGTAGAGATAAATGTACAGGAAACGTAGCTCTACATTGAAAACACAGTATGTTTTACTCCATTCTATCATGACTAAATAAGGCGCGAACTATTTGGTGTTAGCAGATATATTGAGTGAAGCGGCATGGGTTGAGTCCAGTGTTTTGAGTGGGTTTTCTATCTATATTTCGGAATCACCGACAAAGGCCTTTAAACACAATATGGAGCTGTTTTTGCTCAAGCATTTTGTAATGCTCAAGCATTTTGTAATTTTGTAAAGCACACTGTAATGCTTCACTCGAATGTACGCAGGGCAACTTCGTAAGCTAACATGAGGTGGGCACCCCTGAAGAACACAAATCAAACCTTGCAAAGCTTTAGTTTCTACACCGCGCGTCACCATTATGACGTCATCTCACATTGTGACGTAAATGATATGACGTCACAGTCGTATATAGAAAAGTGCCAAATTCCAAGCTCTCTGTTCTCCCCAAGACTTAAAACACTTTCTCTTTACAGATTTCTATCGTGTTTTCTGCACTCAATCTATTGACACACATCCTTTGAATACTGTAGCGACCGCCACTTTGCACTTTGTAATCTATTATTGTAGATATTAATTATTTAAATATGCCTACAGACAATGACCAAAGAATACTATTCTATAAATCGGCTGTTTCAATCAGATTCCGGGGTAGAATAGGTCTTCAGCAACCCATGCTTGCCGTCAAAGGCGACTTTGCTTGTCGTAAGAAGCGACTAACGGGATCGGATGGTCAGGCTCGCTGACTTGGTTGATGCATGTCATCGCAACCCAATTGCGGGAATCGATGCTCATGAAATCAATGACTGGATTGTCTGGCCCAGACTGATCGCAGCGTCATGGGTGTAAGTCTAGAAGTTAAGAGACAGCGAATTGAGACTTTTCTCCTAAGCCACCTGGCAAGATCAACGAAACGCCATGTTGACAGCAGCTACTTTATGTGGCGATGTTGAATTAAACCCTGGCCCCCGTGAAGATCCGGGGTAGAATAGGTCTTCAGCAACCCATGCCTGTCGTAAAAGGCGACTATACCTGTCTTAAAAGGCGACTAACGGGATCGGGTGGTCAGGCTCGCTGACTTGGTTGATGCATGTCATCGATCCCAATTGCGTGGATCGATGCTCATGATATTAATCACTGGATTGTCTGGTCCAGACACGATTATTTACAGACCGCCGTCATATAGCTGGAATATTGCTGAGTGTGGCGTTAAACAACAAACCCAGGAATGATAGTGATGCATCCCCAAAAGATACGAAGAACTGATTTCTGTCATAAACTCGTCGGGTATGATGGAGCTGAAAGCAGAGACGAGTAAACTGAAGATGAAGGTCAGTAAAACACAAACACAGGTGTTAGCGCAGCTGCTGAGCCAATGACGAAAACAGTAAAGGTCAAATGTAATGACTCTAAAATGTGGCTTGGCAAGGAATGCAATTTCTATAGATGTGAATGTCCTCGACTCCTCCTGGTTTAAAGATAGCGTAAAGATTGCGAGTCCCTCAGACGTTACATAAGAGCAAGAAAGTACACTATTGCATTACGGGAGAAGAAAAGACGGCATAATGATTCTATTCGTGATACACTAACAGCCAACATAAATAATGCAAAAGAGTTTTGGGAGGGGTACGACATATGACTGAAATTAACCAACACAATCCGAATATAATTACTGATGATGGTAATGTTGATGCTATTGTTATTGATAACACTGATGTCCATGTTGATGATGCAGCTGTCAGTATTTAGATGTACCAATTACAAAAGCTGAAATATATCAATGTATAATGGAGTTAAAATCATCCAAATCTGCTGGGTCGGATGATATTATTGCCGAATTCTTTAATGGTGGCAACGACTTGTTATTACAGAACCCTGAACTCATTTTTAATATATTGTTTGATTCAGCGCACTTTCCACAATCCTGGAGCACAGGCATATTTATACCAATTATCAACACCAAGTCATATGGTATATATTTTGGCTATATTTGGGAACATCAATCTGTCGGTAACGTTCTTACATTTATTTCAGAATTTACATTTCGGTTAAAGTCATCCTACGAACAAAACTGGCATGATGCCCCCCCCAAAAAAAACCTGTTAAAAACCGCATAGTTATTCTTTGTTTGGTCTGGAAATGTATCTATGTAATCAGTGTCTCTAAGTTTAGAAAATGTCTTACAAACCAGAGATGTCGTTCCCATCAGTGAGAATTGAAACCGGACGACACTGCCAACAACCAAGATGTGAGAGAGTATGTTTACTGTGTAACAAATTGTATATAGAAGATGATTACCATTTCATCCTTGTTTGTGATATATATCAATCCTCCAGGAACTGTTATATACCAGCCAAATTCTGTGTCAATTATTCTATAAATGAATTTAATACGCTCATGTCCAGTAAAAATGAAGGATTTTAAAGAATCGTGCAATGTATGTATATAAATCTACAGAACTAAGAAGATCTCTGCTAGACCAAAATAACACTGTCTCTCTGTTGGATAAGTGATATGTTCAATCTTTATTTCACATACTGAAGAGGCCACAGGCCTATAGTACAATTTGAAGAATATACAATTTTATACCATTTATGTACATATCTCACCAAGTCACCCCACGTCATTCCACCTCGCATCTCAACGCAGTCGCATAATTTCACATATACAGTACAATACCATACCCTGTAATTTCATAATTTCTATTTTACCATATCACAACTTGTTATATCATACAACATATTCTATAACATCATATCATATTGCATCATTACTATAAGATCATACTATATAGTATTATTTCATATACCATTATCATATCATAACATACCATACATACCATTGTACCATATATCACACCTATATTATATCACATTTCAACGTGTCATATCACACAACACATTAGCAATTTCACAGCTTGTCCCATCATATCTTATCATATCATACCATATAATGCCATGTCATTCCATGCCAATTTATTTCATATCAATCAATATGTATTCAACACTGGAAGACCGCAAGCCATATAATATGTACACTAAAAAACAGTATTTACACAATTTCTATAATACACATAACATATTGCATCATATCCCCTCATGTATCATATCACACCACAACACTTATCATATCATATCACATCATGTCATGTCACATCATATCATTTCATATACATATAACTATACTAAACCATTTGTAATATCACGTCCCACAATGTCATATGACAGCCTAGTAGTTTAAAACCATTTCTAACTCTTTTGTTTGTAGTTTATTCAGATGGCAAATATCTATAAATATGTACTTAATGTATATACACAATAGTTTCCTAATACCAAACAGCTAAGATTATTCTTTCATAAGGTTCTGTCGGTTTAAAGAGGCATAATATATGTACATGGAAACATTTTGTAAGATACTTCTTTTTGTGTTTGACAGCAGTGTAACAAATTTAATAATATTAGGGTACCTGTAATAATAAGCTTGCAGGTATTTTTCTCTAAGGTGTAAATACACCCGACATACGAGTAAGAAATGAAATTCATCTTCTACTGAGTTTAAACTACATAGATTACAGATTCTTTCTTCACGAGGAATGTTTACATAGCGCCCTGTTTCTATTAAAAGGTCCTGAGAAGAACGTCTAAAACGTGAAAGAGCCGTTCGAAATTTTTTAACATTAACTTTTGATAAATAATCTTCTATAATTATTTCTGATTTAAACATTTTGTAATAAAAGCACTTGTTTGTTAGAGTCAATGATGCAGTCCAAGATTGTAAATAAATATCCTTTAATCTCTAATGAAAGTATAAACATTGATTTGGCATACACATTTTGGTTTTGCCAAATATCACCAAAGCCACAACTGAAAAGTAATTCCCTAACACCTGTAACCCAGTTTCTTTTCCCATTATTATCATAAACTATCATCATATTATAACACTTTTTTGGCAATCTATATGAGGGCATGTCAAGAAGTCTCAGCCAGTATTTAATAACTTTTATATTTGAATATACATAGAGAGGGAATCTTCCACCTTCTCCATACACCACCAAGCTGGAAGTGTTTATTTACTACACCTAAATACTTTTTGCAAACATATAAATGAATCTTTTCTATGGCATCAAAGTGCTGTAAACCTCAGACTTCTGCCCCATACAACATAATGGGGAGTATCTTTATATCAAATATTCTTTTTAAAAGATTGATGAGAAATGGTTTCTAAAACTTTCAAACTCTTATGGATACTTACAAAGACCTTTCTTGCTTGAAAGGTAAAGCAGCTTGATACAAATGTTTATACCATGACACGTTTCTACTGAAGTAAACACCAAGATATTTATAAAATCCTGTAGTTTCTATTTTTTGTCCTTTAAAGGACCAATATTCTTTACTTGCTGAATGACCTCCATTCTTAAATACCAAAAGTTTTGTTTTACTCATGTTAACTGTTAGCTTCCATTTATTGCAGTAACTTTCAAGTTCATTAATTTGACACTGCAGTCCTTTGATTGTAGATGAAAAGAGAGCAATATCATCTGCACATAAAAGTTAAAATATCTGTGATATGTTATCTATGTGATAAGTGTCTTGAAGCCATTGTTGTTATCCCAGATGGAACGATACTGGACGGAAGACTAGACCAGCACGTCAATGCGACGAACAAAGACCCCAGACGAAAAAAAAGTGAAATACACGTAACAAGACTTCCGGTTTATTAACATAACACAAACTTCTACATCCCTCCCTTTTTCAGAGAAATGTGATACATACACTAATATTATTTGGACCATGTACAATATTAAACTACTACAATAATAAACAAGTTTCCCCCAATTCTTGCTAAATTTTTGCAAAATCCTGTTCTGTCTCTCTACTTCACTATTTGCCTGAGGCCAAAGGGGAGTAACTTTATGATGATGATGAATCCATTTTACCTGCGTCCCTGTTGGAAATGGTCCAGGTAGGACACCTTACGATGGCCCAAAGGGTATCTGCGTACGAGCTAAAGGTTCGCTTGTTGTTGGTTGTTGACACTCATGACAAGTTCCACACTTCTCTTCTACATTGTTGTCTATACCAGGCCACCAAGCCTTAGTACGCAGACGTTGCTTTGTCTTCACGATGCATTGAACACCTTGATGTGCTAGTTGGATAACTCTTCGTCCCAGAGATGTCAGAACTACTAACCTATTTCCTTATAAGACCGACTGTCCCAAAATAATCAATTTATCAGACTCCTGCTTGCATACATGATGACGCGCTCTTATCCGTTTTGTTTTCCTGTATCAACACTGCATCAGCCATCACCCTAGTTTTAGCCTTGCTATCGAAATAAGCTAGTCTCTCTGCATTAGCTAATCCGTCTTTCAATTTCTGGAACGCCTCTGCTTGCCCCCCTTTCTAAACAAATAGAGTCTCTTTCCTAGTTAATGTCCTGAGGGGCAAAATTCTGTATGAACCGAGCAAGAAACTTTACAAGTCCCTTAAAGCTTCGTACCTCTGATACATTTTGACGTTCTTCAGCCTAGGCCGCCAAGAGCGTGTCCCACTGTTACTGTGAGCCCAGTCATGCAACAACGACGTACTTGTGTCAACTCCCGATGTCGTATCTCAGTGTACGATATTCCGGCGTGTTGCAATATTCCGGTACTCCGTGTTGTGTGTGCATGAAACATCATTATACACAACCACTATCACCATCATTAAGCACCACCACCACCTCTGTCTAGCACCATTAGTTTCACTACAGATAAGCTCTATCAACAAAGTTCCATACTTCTCAGCGGCGTGTTTCGATTTATCATATTACGATACAATGAAATATAATTTAGGTTCTCATTCTTGTACAGTACGGCAATTTGATTGACCCTTTCATGATATGGTAAGACACGCTCTGATTGGTCGGATGAAAGGTGGTTCTGGTGTGATCCACAATGGCGAGATTTGATGTTAATCAGAAACAATCTTGCACATCTCCGTATGCAGGAATTGTGAGTGCGTGAGTAATGTGTTTGTAAAGTCCATCATAGAGAACCTTGAATATGTCAAATTATAATTTATGTTGTAATTCTCGAAAAGAACGGCAGTTCGTGAAGTTCTGCCCGATAGTCTCGGTACCATTGACCTCCCTCGACCTGCTGTTTCCGGAGCTCGTCGAACCAAGTGCCTTCTGGGAGGTAAATATCACGTGACGTGGCCCCTTTCTCAACTACCGGTGCTACAAGCAAGTCGTTGCCAAGGAGATATTCGGAATCAATCGTTAGCGCGGCCTCGTCTTGAGGAGCTATCCACCATATCGGACGAATGATTGGTTCACCAGTTCTCACCGAGTCTTCAGCAAGTTTTATAATTGTTGATGTGTAATTTTCGTGAAGCTCCGCGAAATATCGCGTGATTTCAACGACAGTCTCGTTGTTGTAAACCCAAGGAACGACCGAGAACTGAAGCGATGGGAGGAAGGTATTGAGCTGCATCCATCTTATAAACAATTCTTCATCCGGGTAATTACGTGCCTCTAAACCGGAAGAGTTGTCATAAGCATTTCCGCCAATCATGTCCGGTAGAATAAACGGGTACCCAATCAGCCCCATGGTAAGCGCACAGGGAATAAGTGTCTTCAAGCCATTGTTGTTATCCCAGACGGAATCTTTGTCCATCATGCGCACAAATATGGGTACATTCTGACTTCCGGCCCCAACCCTGACCTCTTGGTGTCTTACATCCGGGTCAGAGCGGTAGGCAAGGTCAATCCATTTTCTCGTGTACTCATTCGGGTTTAGGTAAGTTCTATTGACACTGTAAATAAAGGGAAGCCATGCTACCTCGCCGGCGTCAAACTTGAAGGAGCTAATGTTGTAGGTGTCTTTCAGAAAGTTGGTCTTATTGAGGTACCAGTCCACGGCATACGGGTTAGTGACATCGAGTGTACCCGACAGTTGACCCCGCCACCAGGATGTCAGAGCCGGAAGTTTGCGCTCTGGGGCTCGAACCAGGTAACCCAGTGCGGCTGCTTCATTAAAAGCGCGGGAATCGATATTAAAGAAAGGATGGACCCAGACTGTCACCCTGAAGCCGTCCTTATTGAGTTGTGATATCATCCCTCGAGCATCCGGGAACTTGTTTGTTGTGAAGTCCATGTCACCATATAAAGTAGTCCACTCGTCATCAATCTCAAGCTGGGAGTGACTGAAGCCGTTGCTGACGATGTCGTTAGCCAGCTGTAGGACCTGTGTCTGGTTGATGTCTTTCTTGTACATGGCCCACGTTGACCAGATAGGGGAACGGAACAGGCGGCGATCAGGGACGCCTTCAGGGCGGGGAATGTACTTCGCGGACATGTAGTCATGAACTACCCGGATGTTGTTGGCTTGACACACAGTGTAGGAGAGACGTGGTGGTTTGTTGTCGATGTTGATGTAAGGCGAGCGTTCAAATTTGGCCGACATACACATTAAGTTGCTGCTTTTATCGTTGAAACTAAGATAAAGGGGAATATTTGAATCAATGAATATACCTAAACCAGTGGATGATAGGAAGTATCTCTCCAATACACCGCCGTATTTCTTGGCGTAGGAATCCGTCGCAACATAGGCCGCCATTTCCTGTTGTATCTCATTCATCGGCCAGTATTGGTGGTAGTCCTCAAATCCCCCAAACCAGTGACCACGTGACAGTTCAACACAATCCTTCAGTTCCTGTGACACGCAGTTGACAGCCTCCCACGTGACATTGTAGCACGTGACTTTATCGTTTCCTGTCTTGTATATCTCCAACTTCCGGTCTCTTTCCCACGAGAGACATACATCCGCTTCCGGCGTGTTGCAATCCTTATGTCCAGCAGTTCTCCAGTCATAACCCATGAAGATCTCTCCGGTGATCACATGATTATGACGTATGTTCATGTGCACCGTATTCTGTTACAGAAGGAAAAGTACATCAGTACCATAAATGAAAGGATCGTGGACACTGTTTCCCTGCTCCCAAACATCAGTTGTAAATCGAGGTCATTTTTGATAAATGATAACGTAACGTTGAAACATTCTACATACTAGCCATAATCACTATATTTTTCTGTGACATTGAAATAGCTTTTCCACTGAGGTTGTCAAACTAAAAGATTCAAATGAGCAATTTGAACACACTTCTGAGAGTATTATTGGCTTTCTTGCTCGGGTGTTTTCGGAGAAGAGGAAAATGCGAAAGGTTTAAGTACTAAATACCACGTACGCTATTATTTTCGACATAATTGCAGTCCTTTCAAGCAGTTTTATTCATCCCTTCGTTCTTTCCGCACTTTGAATATTCTCATTTAAAGTTTAATTGCCAGGCATGGGTACAATATGTGAAGTCCATTTTTGGTGTCCCCCTCTGTGATATTGCTGGAATATTGCCAGGCGTAAAACCATACTCACTCACTCACTCATTGTAAGTTATCAGTGGGGGTTGAAGTTGAGGGGGTGGGATGGAGCGGGACCACCTTCAGTCTAATTGAACATCAGTACAATTTTAGTAGTCAAAGAAAGTAAGTGAGTATTGTTTCACGCCGCTTTTAGCAATATTTCAGTAATTCCACCAATATTCACTGCGGGGGACACCAGAAATGGGCTTCACACATTGTACCCTTCAAAGAAACAGAGATGCGTTTTGATGTGTATACAGTATAAGATAAATATTAATATGGGAATGTCAACCCGACCTGTATATGAATCTCGGCGTCTCCTATCTCGTACACGGCACGTGACATAAAGGGCGTGCCTTCTTGTTGATCACGTGTTTCCTCCCACACGGCGACACCAACGACGACGACCATGACGACGACTGCAGTCAGAGCAAATGCGACAGCGCAACGTCCCCTTCCCTGTTGGTGGGAAGCCATGATATCTGCAGGAACAAGGGTGAGATAGCGGCAGCCGTAAATAGGGGTATGTTGTAAGCCGAGAAAAGGGCATTGGGTTAGCCTAGAACAAGGCACTGTGTTAACCCAGGCACCGTTTTCGCCTGGAAAAAGACATTGTATTAGCCCAGAGCAAGGCACTGTTTTAGTCTAGATTAAAGCACATTGTTAAACTATAGAAAGGCACTGTATTAGCCTAAAGCAGGACACTGTTTTAGCCTACAGCAAGGCACAATGATAACCTACATCAAGGCACAGTGTTAGCCTAGAGCAAGACACTGTTTTAGCCTAGAGCAAGGCACAGTGTTAGCCTACAGCAGGACACTGTTTTAGCCTCAGCAAGGGACAGTGTTAACCTATAGCAAGGCACAGTGTTAGCCTAGAGCAGGACACTGTTTTAGCCTAGAGCAAGGCACAATGTTAACCTACATCAAGGCACAGTGTTAGCCTAGAGCAGGACACTGTGTTAGCCTAGAGCAAGGCACAATGTTAACCTACATCAAGGCACAGTGTTAGCCTAGAGCAGGACACTGTGTTAGCCTAGAGCAAGGCACAATGTTAACCTATAGCAAGGCACTGTGTTGGCCTAGAGCAAGGCACAATGTTAACCTACATCAAGGCACAGTGTTAGCCTAGAGCAGGACACTGTGTTAGCCTAGAGCAAGGCACAATGTTAACCTATAGCAAGGCACTGTGTTAGCCTATAGCAAGGCACTGTGTTAGCCTAGAGCAGGACACTGTTTTAGCCTACAGCAAGGCACAGTGTTAGCCTAGAGCAAGACACTGTTTTAGCCTAGAGCAAGGCACAGTGTTAGCCTACAGTAGGACTCTGTTTTAGCCTCAGCAAGGGACAGTGTTAACCTATAGCAAGGCACAGTGTTAGCCTAGAGCAGGACACTGTTTTAGCCTACAGCAAGGCACAATGTTAACCTACATCAAGGCACAGTGTTGGCCTAGAGCAGGACACTGTGATAGCCTAGAGCAGGGCACTGTGTTAGCCTAGAGCAAGTCACAATGTTAACCTACATCAAGGCACAGTGTTAGCCTAGAGCAGGACACTGTGTTAGCCTAGAGCAAGGCACAATGTTAACCTACATCAAGGCACAGTGTTGGCCTAGAGCAGGACACTGTGATAGCCTAGAGCAGGGCACTATGTTGGCCTGGCGCAAGGTATTGTGTGAGCGTAGTCTAAAACGTAGGACATTATATTTGCAAGGTATTGTGTTAGCGATGAGCGAATGACATCGTTTCAGCCTCGAAAGGACAGTCCAAGACTTGACTGATGGGCATTGCTCAAGCCTAGAACGGAGTCACTGTACTAGCCTCGAGCGAGGATTGGTTCAAAGTATAACTTGTATTAGCCAAGGTATGTGTCCCTCTCTTAGCCTAGAATAGGGATAGGTCAACAACGTATGCTTAACAACATATTAAAAGCATACAGCATTCAGCTGTACGACTGTATGCAGCTACATGCGAGACGATGACGACTGTCCTGCTACAATGACCGTAATACGACTTCAGACACCGCAGTTCCGACTGTTATATGGTGATTGGGAAACACAAATTAAGACCAATATCATGTTTTAAGTTATAATAAGCTATGTCATATCTACTCACCTTGACTTAAGTACGCAACGTTGCTGCGGGCGACTTGTCACGCCCGTATCGCCACTGTTAAATGAAGGCAAATAAATACAGATGGTCACTGACAGTAGAATGGCTGTCGCTGTGTTTACTTTATCAACACTGATACAGAAGGTAGCCAAGCACAAGAGGAATTTTACATCAAGAGTCTTACTGTGGAAGCGTTGTAGCCCCTTCGCGTGTAAGGCGCTACAAGGTGCGTTTAACACTGCATACTGTCTACCTGTAGTCCGCACACCGATACTAAGATTATTCATGTAAACTAATCAAGCCATATGAAACATCACTTTATGTTTTTGTGATTATTCAAGATAGCTATCCAATTTAATTCAGTTTTAACGATGTTATAAACAAGATCTTTGCTAAACCTCTAGTTCCTAGAATGCACCTACACAGACGTTTGCCTACTCCCCGTGACATTGTTAGCCTTGTTAGTAATATGTTTATTGTTGTTTATGTTGTTTTACACCATATATATCAATGTTCCAACTATATGACGACGGCTGGTAGAGATCCTTTCTGGGGCCGGACAAACCAGTGATTGATATTATCAGCACGTCTCATGTCGTCTTGGTACAAAACACAGTCAACCTGGCCTCAACACCCACTTCAGGTTAGTCGCCTCTTTCGACAAACTATTGAATACAGTAATGGATGCTCTTGTTTTCGCATGTTCTCACGACCCCAACCTTTCGGAACCATCTCAAATGGCAAAAAAATCAAGGAACAATTGATTAAGCTAAAATCTTGTGTTTCGCACATGGTAAGTGTACTTTTTCAAAAAGACCGTGAACGCGAGAATGCCCTTTACGGTATTCCATATGTAATCTTAAAGCATCACTATGAATTATTAGATTTAAATCAGATTCGGATGAAAGTGAACTTTAATAATAGCGCGTACCGAGTACAGGGCGTACTTGAGAAATCGGGGGAAAGTTAGGAAAAGAAGCATCCGTAATATATATATATATAAATTTTATTTACAAACTTCGCGTTTATCTTTTCAGTACTATAACCACAATATCCCGACGGGACCCCAATTTTACCAATTCACCATTCATGAACACGTCATCTACTTCCCAATTCATGAACACAACTAATTCTCCATTCATAAACACACCAATCACCTCACCATTCATGAATGCTTAAAACCGCTCAATCATTCAAAATTGAAAATGGTCGTTTTAAGTCATGATGCCAACGCGAAACAAAGTTACAATTGTTATTTCAGACAAGGCATGGTGATCAGTTGGGCGAGACGTCTTAGACGCCGCCGTTTGCTGTGCCGGAGTTGCGTCCCTTAGACGTGCCAGAAACCGTGGGTTCAAAACCGGTTCACTCTGATAATGTTTCTAGGTTTATCAACACCTCACTCACTCGTGCTCGTGGGTTTCACCAAAGTGGTAATTAAACGTCTGAGACCTGCATTACTTCGGGATTTTCTCCCACATTAAACTGACAGTACATTTATTTTCATTCAGATTCCTTTAACCTTGTGAAATCAAACGTTGTTACAGTATCGTCACCCCGATCAATGGATCAGTGTGTACTCGAATTACATTCTCAGCTGCCTGGGGAGTATACAACCTGCTTATGAGGCGCCAGAAGGTTAACGAAAAGCCACATTACAATTTCATCCTACCGGGTACCCATTCACAGCTGGATGAAGGGAGGCAGATGACGAACATCTCTTTCCCATGGAGACACTTTTATTTTAATCCGTGATAGAGTGTTGTGCCACTCTCCTACCCAGAGTTCCATGCGGTCAGCATAATACGTCACATCTTACAAAGTCCATTTAAAATATTGCATATAGTTTTCATCTGTTTCTTTTTTACGAATTAATACATCTAGATAAACATATATCACAGAATAGTTAACGTTCATTGAGAAATAATCCCAAAACGTGAAAGACTATATCCATTTGCATAGTTATCCTTTGTTGCCATTGGTTGCATGGCTCCACGTGCTGTCATCCAAGGCCTACGGACAGCTAGCTATACGGTCACTCGATATATTAATATACGAGGGGCGTTCAATAAGTTTTGCAACTTCAATATAATACCAAGTCGCAGAAAATATTTTGCACTTTTATTTTTCAATATAATCTCCTTTCAACTCAATACACTTATTCCATTTGTCCTTCAAGCTTTTAATACCACTTTTATAGAAATCCGCAGATTGGTTTTGGGGTGAATGGAGATTATATTGAAAAATAAAAGTGCAAAAGATATTCTGCGACTTGGTCTTATATTGAAGTTGCAAAACGTATTGAACGCTCCTCGTATATTGTCATGCAACTCACTGTCACAGTTGTACTAGCATCAGTATATAATAATGTAAAGCGCGCCGAAAGGCCTGTATCAGGTCAGTCTGTTCTGTTTTCAGAATGAGCGTCTGTTGCAAAACGCCCTTCGTATATTGTCATGCAACTCACTGTCACAGTTGTACTAGCATCAGTATATAATTATGTAAAGCGCGCCGAAAGGCCTGTATCAGGTCAGTCTGTTCTGATTTCAGAATAAGCGTTTGTTTATAAACGAGAAAAAAGTCCGGTCACATGATATGCAAATTAGCCTGTGGCAGGAATGTTATGCTAAGGCACCAATGCGCCGGAGTGTGATGTTGTGCAAGACTGGACGAACTGACATGAGTCATGCTGCCGAACTATGTCACCCATCCAACTCCTCTCCGCAGCCAGCGTTTCCTAACTTCTTGACTTGATCGCTGAACACAGGACCATCGGCATATCTCAGCCTAATAAGGATTATGCCATGTCAGGGGCGCAAAATAGTTCACTGCATGTAAATAAAATATGTTCTGGTTTATTTGTCCGTCTCCTACTAAAATTGCATGTCTGTGGAGAACTTGCTCTCCGCTGTTTAGTCAGGGGGTCTAACTAGGCTTTTATAGACTACCTGACCGGAACTAAAGTTATACGGTGCCAATACCGTAGGGCAGTGAATAATGAACTCTCGTTAACCGTGACCTAACGAGAGTGGGATTTCTAAAGCTCCCACAACTGTGCACACCTGTTGATAAGGGAGGTAGATTGCCTCGTGTATTGCATTACAAGGTCAACAGAGCTCTACTCTCTGTACACAAAACATGCAGCCGACGTCATGATTTATACGACACGTAACTAGGTCATGTTGTGTTGGGTAGTTTAGGCATGTGTACACAGTGAAACCTCTTTAAACCGGATGGCACCCTTCCTCGCGAAATCGCCTGGATGAACGCGAATTCTGGTTCTAATCTTCCATTAATATAGACGTTACCAACAAGATCGACCCGTCCGTGAGGTGTTCATACTAACATACTAATAGATAGGATAAAATGTCCGCCCGGAGAGTGGAAGGTCGGGGTTCGATCCCCGGCCGCGTCATACCAAGAGACGTAATACTATGGTACTTGTTTTTCCCTGCCTGGTGCTCGGCATTTAGGGGACAAAACAAAGTCTGGTCGGATCGGAGTCAGTATACTGTGTCTGTGTCAGCATAGTATCTCAGTGGGGGCGAACTAGTAAACCAACATTAGCCAAGCAGACACACACACACACACACACACACACACACACACACACACACACACACACACACACACACACACACACACACGTGTGTATGCATGTCACTATATTGGTGCAATTAATATTGAAGGCCGGGTTAAACCCATTTCACCTCACCTGAAACTAACGAGGTCCAGTCTAAGTATATAGGTGTCACTGTCCTCAGTTGGGACCCTGTGAAGATCCGGGGTAGAATAGGTCTTCAGCAACCCATGCTTGCCGTAAAAGGCGACTATACTTGTCGTAAAAGGCGACTGTGCTTGTCGTAACAGGCGACTAACGGCACGGGTGGTCAGGCTCGCTGACTTGGTTGATGCATGTCATCGATCCCAATTGCGTGGATCGATGCTCATGATGTCAGTCACTGGATCCAGACTCGATTATTTACAGGCCGTCGTCATATAGCTGGAATATTGCTGTGTGCGACGTAAAACAACAAACAAACAAAACAAGCCTAACAAGGTCATGTCTTGATTTTGTTGCTTCGACCGTTGAACTGCGCACTTTGCTTAAAAAACTTATTGTGAATTGTTGGTGCTCCGGATCTGATAACCCAGTAAATAGTCTATATATGTTCCCGTGATCGTAAATATCATGAACTGTTTATTTGTTCCCCTATAAAAAATAATTAACCGGTTTCGGTGTAGCCGCGTTTATGAGTATAGTGATTCGAATGAGGGCAGCTATGGGTATAACTGTAATTCTATTAACGACAACCCAGCTACAAAGAGCTCAAACAACATGAATATTTTGTGTAGTTAATCGCATCTTTCCGGAATGACACGAATGGTCACGAATGTCTTCTTTCTTTCCCCTATGAATTTGTCTCTCAATAGAGTGAGTGAGTGAGTATGGTCTTACGCCGCCTTTAGCAATATTCCAGCGATATCACGGCGGGGGACACCAGAAATGGGCTTCACACATTGTACCCATATGGGGAATCGAACCCGGGTCTTCGGCGTGACGAGTGAACGCTATAACCACAAGGCTACCCCACCGCCCCGCCAGGAATGTTGTTAAACGCGGCGTAAATCCATACTCGCTTACTCTCTCATTTCTACTGGACACAATTGCCGGGGCTTCCGAAATTCTGAAAGAATATTTAAGACACCATTATGGAACAACAAAAGACTAACAGTTAGTGAATGGAAGAAAATATAGTTAACTTTTAATTTGCTAAATTGTCTTGTGATATATAATAGAAAGGAGAGCAGAAAATGTCATCATTTTAGATAATAGAGAAGCCAACCTATTAAAACTATTATGGGATTGCTTGGGATATTTTTCCTTCAGAGTCTCAACTGTCTCGTAGATAGAAGACACTATATGCAACATTGCTAAGTCTGACAAACTGTGACATGACACCACTGAGTACACAGGGCCGTAAGATATATCTACACCCTGTCATGAACTTAACTGGTGTATTTATTTGTAAGGGCCAGATCACGACTATCATATCTCTAAGTAAGCGAGTATATGCTGGTGGGAAATAATAACGGAACACTTTGCAACAAAGAGGAAC